CGGCGTCCGGGGGCTCACAGCATTTCCCCCCCCCAGCCCTTTTTTTGGGGGCCGGGGGTTTCCCCACAGAAAAACCCACTGCAGCACCACGGGTTTTGGTTTTTGCCCCAGGGGTTTTATAAGGGGGGGTGGGAATTGCCGGCCACGGGGGGGGGTAATCCCCCCCCCCCCCCGTTTTCACCAACAAAGACCCCCCCCCCCCCCTCCCTCAACGGGCAGCCGGGACGTCTTCGCGCGCGCGAGCATAGACCGCGGTGGCTGTTCACATGCCAGGGGGCGCGAGCAGCGCGGTGCCACCGACAGCGCGGCGGCCTTCAGGCCGTGGCGCTGCTGTCGCCAGCTCCCTCCGTCTCCCAAAAGGACCGCGAGCGGCTCATACGCCGCCCCGACTGCCGTGCGGCTGCTGCCTCCACCGAGAGAGCGTCGTCGGGGGAGGCGATCTCGTCCACAACGACCTGCGACGAGGTAAGGGAAGGTAACCTTCTCCACACGTGGTGGGGCAAAAGAGAAGGCGGGGCGGGCAGGGGGGGGGGGGGGGGGGGGATCCTCGCGACTCCTGCGAGAGCCAACTACGTGTTTGTGCATGTGACGCCTCCCGTCCCTGTCTCTGTCCACTCGGCCTGTCTCTGTCTCTGTCTCTGTCACGCGGCCTGAGTGCATGTGACGCCTCATGTCCCTGTCTCTGTCAGTGTGCACTCAGGCCGCGTCTCCTGTCGCTACTACGGACTCGTCCGGTCAGCCATTCGTCCACACGATCGGCACCCCCCTCCTCGCCCACGCGACTAGCGACAGGAGACGTGGCTACTACGGACGCTGCTACTACGGACGCTGCTACTTCGGGTCGGCTCATCGCACCAGCACCAGCACCCCTACCCCGCCAACGGCGACATGCGCACCGAGGAGCAGAACGCGCTCGCCAAGCTCTTCAGCGGCTGCGCTGCCTCGGCATGCTCTACTCCCACCGTGGGGCGTGGAGGGGGGTGCCCCCGATCGTGTTAATGAACTGCTGCCTACGGCTGCCTATACGCCGCTGCGACTACCGCCTCCGCCTGCGAGAATCGCGTCAGCGGCGCCGCCGCCGCCAGGCCCTGCGAAGCGGGGAGTGGCGCTGACGGCCGCGATATCGATAAAGCCACTCGGTATAGCCGAGCTCAGCCGAGCTCAAACGAGAGGAGAGGAGAGGAGAGGAGCCGAGAGGAGCCGAGAGGAGCCGAGAGGAGCCGAGAGGAGCCGAGAGGAGCCGAGGGGAGCCGAGGGGAGCCGAGGGGAGCCGAGGGGAGCCGATAGGAGCCGAGGGGAGCCGAGGGGAGCCGAGGGGAGCCGAGGGGAGCCGAGAGGAGCCGAGAGGAGCCGAGGGGAGCCGAGGGGAGCCGAGGGGAGCCGAGGGGAGCCGAGGGAGCCGAGGGGAGCCGAGGGGAGCCGAGAGGAGCCGAGAGGAGCCGAGAGGAGACAGGATGAGACAAGATGGCCGAGATCGGCCGAGATGAGGCGAGACTTGCCTGCGGCGCGAGCGGCGTGGCGATGACGTGTGCGTGCTTGAGCTTGACGCGATAGATACGCTCGCCTGCAGGAAGGTTCGCGGAAGGCTCATGCAGGTGTGTCCCTACCGCGAGCGCCAAACTAGGAGCTGTCGTCAAGTAGCTAGGAGAATGTCCATGTCTAGGAAGTGTCTACGAAGTGTCTAGGAAACGTCTTCATAGTGTCTAGGAGGTGCTCTCCGACGACGACCCACGCGGACGCCTTGCTTGCGCCTGACAGGCAGCGGTCACTGTTAGTACTCGTTACTATTAATAATTCATCAAGCAGCGAAGACTTGGCAATGCCTGCCACAATCGTTCGCTACTATCAGAACGAATAACTAGTGACCCAACAGGAATTGCGCGTGACCGGTCACGACACCCACGCGACCGGACCAGCGCCCGTCGTCTCCAACCTACGTCATGGTCACACCAAAGTCAGTAGACACCTCCTAGACACCTCCTAGACACTTCCTACGTCGTGGTCACACCAAGGTCAGGGTGTGGGGCGGTAGGACATCGTGCCGTGTACTCGCAGCATCGCTCGGGGCGACAGGTACAGCGAGTACAGCGGCGCACAACCGAGTACAGCCGAGCACGTGTCTCCTCGCTAGAATAGCGGGTCTGTCTACAAGGGCTATGAGCGAAGCGCATAGCCGAATACAGCCGATAGAGGGCTCTGAGCGGAAGACAGGGTCTGACATCTGTACTACAACGGCTATGAAGGAAGGAGTACAGGGATCTGTACTACGAGGGCTACGAAGGAGACGCAAGCAACAGCCGAATACGCAACAGCCACATACAGCCGAAGGAGCGCCCTCTCGAGCGCTCCGTCGGAACACAGGGGTCTCGCCTATCATCCGCGTCTAGGGTTCTGCAACCACTCGCACGCGGCAGCCGCGCCTACGAATTCTCAAACCACGAACCTTCATCAGCGATTCTTCATTCTTAATGCACTCGCACACGGCCGCCGCGCCGCGGCGTGTCCGGAAGCACCGGCGCGGTCGCATCAAACTCCTCCTGCGCCGCGAGCGCCTCGGCCGCCGCAATCTTCGCCGCCGCCGCCGCCTCCGCCTTCGCCGCCTCCGTCGCCAGCGCCTCCGCCTTAGACACCGCCCTCTTTTGCGCCGCCGCCTCGGCCGCCGCGGCCGCCTCCGCCGCCCTTGCCGCCTCCGCCGCCCTTGCCGCCTTCGGACATGTCGTGGACGTGTCATGGACGTGTCGTGGGCGTTGTCGTGGGCGTGTGTCGTGGGCGTGTGTCGTGTGGACATGTCGTGGACGTGTCGCGGACGTGTCGTGGGCGTGTCGTGGGCGTGTTCGTGGACGTGTCGTGGACGTGTCGCCGACATGCGGCGGACATGTCGTGGACGCCTTGGCCGTCGCGAGCGTCACCTCCGTCGCCGTGTGGAGCAGCCTGCAGTACCGCTCCTGCACCTAACGAATACTCAGCGATTAACTGTTAGTTCCTGCCGGAGCAGTTCTCTGCTATTGCACCTACGCCATAGACATCCCCACGCCAGGGTGTCAATACTACGGTAACACGCCACGTGCTCGCAACATCGCGTGGATACAAGGGATCCGGGAACAGTGAGAGCCCAGCCGAGTCCGACCGAGCCGTACTTGAATACCAAACACATGCATCCAGTTTCTGGCGCTCTTGTGTCCTAACCTAACAGTCGCTTCTCTATTCTTCTAGCCGGGCCCTAGAGCCCTAATCAAAGGCTAGAAGAAGACGCCTTGTACATCCGGCCATCGTGGTAGAGCCACACCCACCCCTTGCTGCTCCGGCCTACGCGTGTGAACAGCTTGTACATCCGGCCATCGTGGTAGAGCCACACCCACCCCTTGCTGCTCCGGCCTACGCGTGTGAACAGCTCCTTGTACATCCGGCCATCGTGGTAGAGCCACACCCACCCCTTGCTGCTCCGGCCTACGCGTGTGAACAGCTCCTTGTACATCCGGCCATCGTGGTAGAGCCACACCCACCCCTTGCTGCTCCGGCCTACGCGTGTGAACAGCTCCGCGGCGGCTGACTCTCCTCCTCCCCACCCCACGCCTCTGCCCAGCTCCTACTGCTCCAGCCTGTGACCGTCGCGACGTACCTGCATCGCGGTCACGCGTGTCGTGGACGTGTCGGCAGGGGGTCTCACAAACGTGTCGGCAGGGCGAATCGTGGACGTGCCGAGGGCGGCCACGGCAGCGCTGGCAGAGATGTGCAAGCGGCGGTCGGAGACAGCGGTTGGGAGGGAGGTCTGTCCGAAGTGTCGCGCACCCGTCGCCCTCGAGGCCCGGCGCCCGCAGTCGCACGCTGCACCCGACGTGGATCTCGCCGGCGCCCGCCGGCACGCAATCGTCCTCAATATCGTCCTGAAGGGTGGTGGAGGCAGCGTGGGAGGGTGGCGGCGGCGACGGCGGCAGGCAAGGCGTCATGCCTCGTCCGCTTCAAAGAGGATGGACTCCTGTGCCGTCAGCCAGGCGGCCTGCGACAGCAGGGCGTCAACCTTGCCCTGCGACGTTGTCGGCAGCAGGGCGTCGCTATTCCCCTGCGGCGTCGTCGGCAGCTCTACGGGCACTGTCTCCGCGGACATTGGCCTCTCAACCTGCTCGCGACGGCGCCGTCGGCGATGACCGATGTCCGTCTCTTGGGGGGGTACGAGGAAAAAAGAAATTGGAAACAGGCTCCAAGTGCTCCAAGGTAAAAAGAAGAATAGAACTATAATGCGCCCCCCCCTGCCCTCCCCACCGCTCCCCCTCTTCTCCTCTTCCCCCTTCGCCGGGCCCGCGCGCCGGGCCAAGCACGTGGGACGCAAGCCGGCCACAGTGGTCGCCAATATGCCCCCCCCCCCCCCCCTCCTTCCTCCAGACCCCTCCCCACCCGGCGTGCTCACGCCGTCTCGACGCCGTCGCCGGCCGACAGCAGCTCCAGGGCCGAGGCGCGGAACTGCGAGAGCAGGTGCTGCAGCCCCGGTGCGTCGAAGTTAGAGTAGAGGCCGTACCGCGCGTCGGCGACCTATCAGTGGCAATTACTGCCCACTCACCGCCCCGCCCTCGCTTGGTAGAGCCAGCACCGCCCGCCGGCGACCAAGTCGGCGACATAGAGCGAGAGGTGGAGCAGGTCCTGGTCGCCCGTCTTGCGGCCCGCCTCGAGGAGCACGTGGTGGACGTTGCGCACGAGCGGAGGAACCTACCACACAACACCCAAACCCGCCCTCTCACCAGACCGAGCGGCGCAGCGAGCGGCGCAGCGTCAGCGCGAGCGGCGGCCACCAGCTGGCGCCGCAGCCGCCGCAGCGCGGCCGCGGAGCGGTGCGCCGCGCCGCTCTCCTCGTCCTTCAGATGCATCGCCAGCACGCCCGCGCCGGCGCGCTGCCCGGCCATCACGGCGTCGACCTCGGCGACGCGGTCCGTCAGTGAGGATTGTTAGAACCATAGGAAGTAGACTCGGAATTGAGAATGAATGATGCCTCGCCGACGCGCGGCGGCTGTATTGTGGTTCAAGTACGAGTGGAGACAGAATGTGAGTGAACAATGAATTCGACCTCGGCGACGCTCGGCAGCCGGCCCATCGTCTCGCCCTCGTACTGCATCACGACGCTGGTCAGCGCCTCCCGCGTCGCCGCGTCGAGCGAACGCGCCGCCGCGCCGACGACGGCCGCGGCGGGCCCACCTACCGCACCACCCTCGGGAGTGAACCCACACCGGGTTCGGTACTCTGGAGGTGCGGTACCAGCGAGCCCACCCCCCTCGAGCGCGCGCAAGCACGCGGCGTGCGCTGCGTGCGCGCGCAGCGCCGCCGACCAGAAGCGGAGCTCAAAGAGCATCGGCTCGAGCGACTCGCCAAGCAGCGGGTCGGCGGCGGCGGCGGCGCGTGCGTGCGCTCCCAGCTCATCAAGGAGAGCCTAAAAGCAGGAGTCTCTGGTGCCGACGTATCTCTTTTCGAGGCTCCCAGCTCCACAAGGAGAGCCTCTGTCTCTTCCGACGGCAGCGCGCCACGCACGCCAGAGGCGGTACCTGCGGGCAAGGTGCGGGGGCAAGGTGGGGGCAAGGCGGGGGCAAGGTGCGGGTAAGGTGCGGGCAGAGTGCGAGGAGGGTGCGGGGAGGGTGCGGGGAGGGTGCGGGGAGGGTGCGGGGGAGGGTGCGAAGAGGGTGCTGGGAGGGTGGGTGGGTGGGGGGGGGTCATGTCTAGACAGGTCTGGGAGATGGCTCGGAGGTGTCTAGGAACGGACCGACCAGCAGCTCGACACGGCCGCTCGACGCGGCGGCGGCGCGCCGCAGCGCGAGCAGCGCCTGCGACAGCGCCTGCACCAGCAGAGCCAAGCGTCCGCCGCAATGGATTAAGAATAGTCGATTGATTAGAGAGTGCCAAGCAATGGATCAAGAGTGGTCGATTCACTACGGAGTGTCAACCGCCTGCACCAGCCGCCACGCATTCTCCGCGTCGCCGCCCCCTCCCTCTACCGCGGGTGGGACGGCGGCCGACGGAACGGTCAGCCAGCGGACGCACTGCAGCGTGTCGCGCAAGGCGCCTGTTCACAGCCGGGGGGGGGGGGGGGGGCGTGCAGGAGGCGCCGTTCACGCCGCGCTCATGCGCGGTGTGCGTGCGGCGCGCCCGCGAGCGCGGCGGGCTGCGCGGGCGGCGGAAGAGGCAGCGACTGCCGGTGGGTCACGGCGCGCAGTGCGATGTGCGGCAGCAGCGGCCGCTGCTCGGGCGGCAGCAGCCGCGCCGCCTCGCCGAAACACAGCGTCTTCTGCGCCGGCGGCAGGTCGTGCGGCAGCTTGCAGAGGAAGGAGGCGACGCCGTCGACGACCTGAAGGAGGAGCCATACACACGCAGACTCGAGGGGTGATGGTCAGCCGGGAGTCAACAGTCTGTGCGACGCCGTCGACGACCTTCTCGTCGGGCGAGAGCGCCTGGTACCATACCTCCAGAGTGCCGAATCCGGTGTGGGTTGCGGTCCCGTGCCGGTAGGGGACGGGAGCAGCGCCTGAGCGAGCAGCGACACGGCGGCCGCCATCTGCTGCAGCGTCGGCGCCTCCTCGCCGCCGCCCGACGGCCCAAATGGCGCGGCGGCGGCGGCGGCGGCGGCGCGCGAGTCGACGGCGCCGACGGCGGCGGCGCCGACGGCGCCGAGGAGAGAGACGTACTCTGAGAGCAGCGACTGCATCGCGTCGTCCGCCTCGCGCGTCAACTCCGCCGCCCCCATCGCGCCCAGCACCGGCCGCAGGAAGAGCGAGAGGTGCGCGCCGAACCGCAGCGAGTGGAAGCGCACCCTCTCTCCCCCCGCCGCCCCGCCCGCTTGCGGTGCCGCAGCCACCAGCGCAAACGACGCGGCCGCCCCGCCCGCGCCGCCCGCCAATGTGGTGGCGCCGACGCCGGCGGCAAGGCGGAGTGCCTAGTACCATACCCCCCAGAGTCTCGAACCCAGTGTGGGTTCGGTCCCGTGGCGGTAGGGGACGAGAGCGGCGCGCGCCTCGGTGAACGCTTGCTGTGCCGCGCCGAGCGGGTCCGCGCCCAACGCCGCCGCGGCCGCCTCTGCGCCGGAAGGGAGGGGGAGGAGGAGCCCGCGCATCGCGATCAGCCGCGACTGCACCTCGCAGTGCCGCCGCGCCGCCGCCGCCTCCGCCGCCGCCCCGCCCTCGGCGGCCGCGTCGAGCAGCTCGAGCACGCGCTGCAGCGGCGGGGCGTGCGTGCGTTAGTCGCATTCTTACTGTCGTCACAGCACGGTCTTGCTATACTGCGGCCAGCGCGATCACTATCACTGCTGTTCGGAGTCTGCTGGTTGCTCTTCTGGCAGTGTGAGTGGCTGTGTCCTTTCTGCGGCGGGTCGCCTGCAGCGGCAGCGCGTGCTCGTGGCGAAGCGGCTGGCCGTCGGAGAGGCGCCTGCGGTGGGCCATGGGCGGGATCTCGGCGAGATCTCGACTGTATCTCGGCTGGATCTCGGCGAGATCTCGGCGAGATCTCGGCTAGATCTCGGCGACATCTCGGCGACATCTCGGCGACATCTCGGAGAGGCGCCTCTGCTGCTCGGCGATGTGTTTGCCGACAGACGGCTTGAGGCGCGCCCAGACCTCATCCTCCCACCCGCCGCAGACCGGCAGGACTGCGTGCAGCAGCGACGCGTCCGACGCGAGCGACGCGTAAGCCGCCGCCTCGTGCGCCGACGCCGGCACCTCGGGCCGCTGCAGCGCCCGCCGCGCTATGGCGCCGCACGCACTGCGCCATAGCGGCCGGTCCGGGTTGCCAACCCACCCGCCAGCTGCGGAGTCGTACCGCCACGGCTCGCCGCCCCCCAGCGTCGCCGCGCGCCACGGCTGGCCGCACTGCCGGCACAGCTGCTGGGCCTAAAAAGGAAGTAAGGCGCCGCCTCGATTTCTTTTTCCTCCACGGCTGGCCGCACTGCCGGCACAGCTGTCGCGCCTCCGCGACGCGCCCGCACCGCACCATCAGCCACACCGTCCGCAGCAGCGCCGCCTCCTCCTCCTCGTCCTCGGCGTCGAGCCTCCTCCCCTCGCGCGCCGGCGCGTCAGGGTCGAGGGACGTGGGAAGGCCGTGCGCCGCCGCCTCGCCCACTGCGAGGCGGAAGGCGGTCGACCGATGCGTGACCGGCAGCGGCAGCGGGCGCGGCTTCTCCCTCGCGCCGTCCTCCGCCCACCGCACCGCCCGCAGCGCCAGGTCGGCGACGGGGTCCGCCTGCCGCAGCGCCGCCTCCTGCACCTCCTCGTCATGCAAGCTCTTCGTCGGCAGCCCCGCCGCCGCCGCCGTCGCCGCGAGCGCCTCTGCCCCGCCTCCGCCGCCGCCGCCGCCGCCGCCGCCGGCGGCGGCTGGTCCGAGTGCGCGGAGCATGGCGCCCCAGTCGTCGGGCGGGGGCGGGAAGGGGGGCGGCGCCGCCTGTCGCCCGTCGAAGCCCGCATACAGACGGAGGAGCAGCCGCCAGCTCTGCCTCTCTGCGCGCAGCGCCGCCGCCTCCGCCTCCAGCGCCGGCCGTGAGCCGCCGCCTCCGTCCGGGGCGCGAAGCTTGCGCTCGGTGTCGTCGAGGGCGGCGGAGGCGAGCGCCTCGTACGCCTCGAGCAGCGGCAGGTACCCCGCCACCGGCGGCGGCGCCCTCTGCGCCACCCACCACTCCTCGAGCGCGAGCGCAAACCGCTGCGAGAGCGCCACGTCGGCGGGAGCGTCGGCGGCGACGGGGTCGGAGACGGCGCCGCGCGTGACCAGGGCGGCACCCGCCTGCGAGAAGCGGTCCGGCACCGCACCCGGCGCCGTGCCGAAGCCGCCGCCTCCTCCGTCAAAGTCGGGCAGCGAGAGCGCGAAGAGTGGCCGGTCAGCCGCGGCCGAGGCGGAGCGCGGCGTGGCGAGTGGAGCCGCGCCGCCCTCAGTGGCGGAGCTGAAGAGCGCCGCCCGCGGCCTCGTTGCCGGCGTTCTGCCCGGGGGCGAGGCGAGCATGGAACTGGAGGGCCAGTTTTTCTTTTTAGCATGATAAAGAAAGAAAGAATGGAACAGACCGCCCATGGGTTGCCAACAATAGCTAACGCCCAAGGGAGGGATGGGAGGACGGCACGCCGCCACCACACAGGGATGGCACTGGAGGCCGGCGTTTTTCTTTTTTAGCATTTAGTGAACTGCGCTCGCACCGAAAAAAGAAAGAATACGCCCAAAGAAATCCGCGGGCATGGCAGCCGGCGAGCTTGGTTTGCCGCTGCCCGGCCCGTGCGGCTGGCTCCTCGGCTTCCTCGACGAGGCCGGCGAGCCCGTGCCGCTCCTCGGTGTCGGCTGCGCCGCCACCACGGACGACGGCCTTCCGGACTGGGCCTGCGGCGACGCGTCGGCGCTCGGCACATCGCTCTGGCCGCGAGGCCTGACGCCGCTTGGTGTCTACTCGGACTGCGCGCCGCCCGAGGCGGCCGCGCGGCTGGCGAAGCTGCTCGGCGCGTGCGCGCCCCGGCTGCCGGCCCTCGCCGACGCCGAGCGCTCCGGGAGCCTCCTCTGCGCCGCCACCTGCGGCGGCGGCGCCGCCGCCTTCTTCCGAGGCGGCTCGTTCGCTGCCGCGACGGTGGCGCCCGAGGCGGAGCGGCGTGCGCGGTTCGCTGCGACCCACCTGTCCCTCCGCGCGCGCCTCGCCGTCTCGCTTTCGGCGCCACCGCCGGCCGGCGTCGCCTCGCTCGTCGAGGAGCTGCGCTCCAGGCGGCTCCTCAGTGGAGATGACCCGAGATGACCCGAGATTGACCGAGAGTACCCGAGAGTACCCGAGAGGACCCGAGAGGACCCGAGAGGACCCGAGAGGACCCGAGAGGACCCGAGAGGACCCGAGAGTACCCGAGAGTACCCGAGAGTACCCGAGAGTACCCGAGAGTACCCGAGAGTACCCGAGAGTACCCGAGAGCACTCATGGTGAGCACGAGAGGACCCGAGACTACTCATGGTGAGCGCGCAGGCGGCTCCACTTTGCGTTCACGGACGCGCCGCAGGTGGGCGTGGTGGCGCCCGGGCAGGAGGCGGGCAGGCGCTGCGCTGTTCTCATGAGTGGCAGTCGAACGCCGCAATGCTCGTGCTCGATACATGATAGGAGGCGGGCCGGACCTGCGCTGCGCTCGTCGAGCCGTGGGGCGTGGCTGCTCCTGGCGGCGACGGCGACGGCGACGAGGAGGAGGAGGAGGCGGAGGCGGAGGCGCGAGGAGGGAAGAAGGGGGGCAAGAAGGGCGGCAAGAAGGGCGGCAAAGGGAAGAAGAGCGGCGGAGGAGGCGGAGGCGGAGGCGGCGGAGGCGGAGGAGGCGGCGGCGGAGGCGGAGGAGGAGGCGGCGGGCGGGAGGCCGCACAGGCTGGAGACGGTGTCGCTGCCGCCCGCCAACTGTTCGACGGTCAACTGTTCGAGGCGGTAGTGCCTAGAGGCGGAAGATCTCCCCATATCTCCCCCGTATCTCCCCCGTATCTCCCCCATATCTGGCAGCTCGGAGCCCTAGAGGCGGAAGACGTGATCTTGTCTTCCAACCAGCGCTCAAGAGGACACGCATTCAACTGTACTCAGCCGGGTCCCGCCGTATGCACTGTCTGCGCACCCCTCGTAGTCACGCGGTGCTCTGAATGCTCTGCACGATACCGTACCTCCCGCCCTCATGTCGGCGTATTCAGCACGTAGGCTGCAGTGCTGTGGGAGGAGAGCGCCGCGGCGGGCGATGCTGCGTCGCAGGCCGTGAAACTCTAGCTCCACTCTACTCGATCTCCACTCGATCTCCACTCTATCTCCACTCGATCTCCACTCGATCTCCACTCTATCTCCACTCTATCTGAAGTCCGTGAAGTGTCTCTTCTTGTCTCGGCGCCTCGGCTGTGAACGGCGTCTCTTCACACCTCGCAGCTCTGAACAGGCCGTGTGCCTCTTCCTCGCTCCGCCCGCCGCCGAGGCTGCGGGCGACGGCGGCGGCGGCGGCGGCGGCGGCGGCGGCGGCGGCGGCGCGCACCGGCTCAAGCTTGACGTTGTCGTGCAGTCGCGGCGGGACGGGTCGCTCGGCGCCGCCGCCGCCGCGCTGCAGCGTGCGCTGGCGGAGCAGGCGGCGTCGCTGGGCGGGCTGCTGAAGGCCGGTGTGGCGCCTGTCGCATGCGCGGTGCTACCGGAGGGCCTCGCGGCGGCCGCGGGAGGTCAAGGGCGCCGTTTCCGTTCACAGCGAGGCGGTGTGAACAGGTGCTGCCGGAGGGCCTCGCGGTGCCGGTCTGCCTCGAGTACGCCCTCGCCGTTGGGGAAGAGGTGAGAGTCGCCGAGAGTCGCTGAGACGATTTGGTTTCGCCGAGAGTCGCTGAGATTTGCCGAGAGTCGCCGAGAGTAGCCGAGGTGCATCTCCACTCTATCTCCGCTCTATCTCCGCTCTATCTCCACTCTCTATCTCCCCTCTATCTCCCCTCCATCTCCCCTCTATCTCCCCTCCAGCTCCCCTCTTTCTCGCAGGCAAGCGAGCCGTCGGCGCGGCCGCTGCGCGAGCGCCTCCACGCCCAGCTAGGCCTGCCAGATAGAGGGGAGATAGAGGGGAGATCGAGTGGAGATAGAGGGGAGATAGAGCGCCTCCACGCCCAGCTAGGCCTGCCAGATAGAGGGGAGATCGAGTGGAGATAGAGTGGAGATAGAGCGCCTCCACGCCCAGCTAGGCCTGCCAGATAGAGGGGAGATAGAGGGGAGATCGAGTGGAGATAGAGTGAAGATAGAGCGCCTCCACGCCCAGCTAGGCTTGCCAGATAGAGGGGAGATAGAGGGGAGATCGAGTGGAGATAGAGTGGAGATAGAGCGCCTCCTCTCCCAGCTAGGCCTGCCGCTCGACCGGCCGCTGTTGCGCACTTGCAACGCGCTCGGCGGCGGCGGCGGAGGCGGCGCGCCGGCGTATTTGCTCAGGAGCCCACACGAGGGGTTGGCGCCGTCGGGTCTGGCTGGCGGCGTTGTCTCGCTCGTGCAAGGCGAGATGTAGCCGAGATGCAGCCGAGGTGTAGCCGAGGTGTAGCCGAGATACATCCCAGCCCAAAAAGAAATACACGCCGCCCCGATGTGTCTTTTACCAGGCGAGTACGAGTACTACCACTACCTCCAGCCCACCGGCACCGGCCGCACCGACAAGTATGACGACAACGGCTGGGGGTGCGCGTACCGATCGCTGCAGTCTATCATCAGCTGGTTCCGGCTGCAGCGCTACACGTCGCACCCCAACCCAAGCCACTACCAGATCCAAAAGACGCTGGTCGACCACTGCGGCCAGGAGGCGGACGGGCTGCTGGGGAAAAAAACGTGGCTCGGATCGCAGGCCATCGGCGCCCCTCCCCTACCCCCCACGGTACCCGGACCCACCCTCCCCTACCCCCACGGTACCCGAACCCATCCTCCTCTACCCTACCCCTCTGGTACCCGAAGCCACCCTCCACCACCCCCACGGTACCCGAAGCCATCCTCCCCTACCCCCATAGTACCCGAAGCCACCTTCCCCTACCCCTATGGTACCCGAACCCACCCGCAGGACCTCGGCTTTTACCTCGAGCACGCCCTCGGCGTGCAGTGCCGCTTCCTCAGCTGCGCGTCGGGGCACACGACGTCGCCGCGATGACCCGAGATTGCCCGAGATTGCCCGCGAGGTGACCCCGAGATTGCTTCGAGCAGGCACGACATCGCCGCGAACGCGCGGCAGCTGGCGCGCCGCGTCGAGTCCGAAGCGTGCCGGGTGTGAACGGCGCCTCTTCACGGCTGCAAGCTGTGAGCAGGCGCACCACTTCGAGTCGCAGGGCACGCCGGTGATGATTGGCGGCGGCGAGCTCCGCCTTCACCCTCCGCGGCGTCGACTTCAATGAGAGGTTTGACTCACTGGTTGGCGAACTACCTAGGCGAGCTCGCCTTCACCCTCCTCGGCGTCGATTTCAATGAGAGGACGGGCGAGGCGCGCTTCCTGATCATGGTCGCGCACCCTAGAAGGGGGATACGTGCCCGTGTATCCCAACCGGCGCTCGAGAGACACGCATTCCGGTGTCGTCCGCTGTGTTCAGCTGTATGCACTGTCTTCCTCTATCCGTTGTCTTCACGCGGTGCTCTGATAGGAATACAGTCGGCGTATTCACCGCGAAGGACCCACACACACACACACACAAACACATCACCGCTCACCCACGCGCACTGGGCCTTGCACATTTAGTCCCGTGGGCCTCCTGTCGTCCAGACGTGGAGACGCGAGGGACTAGCCCGGCCCTTGCCCCACCACACTCGTGCGTGTGGAGAAGTCTCCCTGACCTCACCTCACCTTAGGACCCGCACTACGTCGGCCCGGACGACCTCTCGCAGATCCGGCCAAAGTGGGTCGGTTGGAAGTCGCAGGACTCGACGACGCACCTCGGCACCAAGCTCTTCCAGCAGGGCGAGCTGTACAACCTCTGCCTGCCGCAGCGGCCGAGCTGCGTGTGAGTGGAGGACCTGCCGCCAGTGGCACTGGCAGCAGGGTTCGTGATTTCACATGGAAACAGCGAATCGATTTCACTTTCACTTTCACTTCACATTTCATGTGAAACGAAATTTCACTTTTCCGAGCGAGTGTGAACGTGAATACGGGGGGTGGACCCTGAGTTGACCAGGGGTTGTGCGCTGGGCCCTCCTGCTCGGCTCCAGCCAGTAGACAAGTCTTGTCATCAACAGAGTAGATGGATCTGACCTCGGGGCCGATGTGACCAAGCGCTGGTAGCGTGGTTTTACCTCACACCCATGGTCTCACAGTGTGCCGGCAGTCGCCGAGCAGTGTCGCTCACACAAGCCGCAGCACAAGTGACTGAGGGCCAGTGAGGGCGAGCCCATCGCTGTCACAGCTGTGGCAGCCGCACAGTAGGCTGTGCCAACTGTGCAGAGTGTGTGCGCAGCAGAGGAGCTGCTCTCCAGGCTTCAGGCGCAAAGAGATGCGTGCCACCGAAGGCGCTGTCGAGGTTCGCCGAGCGCGGCGCAGGTTGGAGGACACCGTCACCGACGAGCGCGTTGGACTTTTCACTCCGGACAAAGACGGGTACACGCACACGAGCCGCGGTCGTATACCCGTCATAGTGGCGAGGCGCGGGACCGTCTGTGGCGAAGTGGGTCGCGTCCTCCGATTTCCTCAACTCAGGGTCCGCTCCCTCTAACACCCCATGCACCAAGCAGCAGCCAAGCGATGAAGGAAGCTGGAGATATTGGTCACGCTGAGCTGATGTGTGCACTAGACCAATATGAATATCTTGGCGTGCTGTGGGCGAATACGGTGCCGATGGTGGGATGAACTCTCTCAGCAGGCGAGTATTTGCAGTCGCATTGGGAGGGCGGCCGCGGCGGTGTAGGGGCGGGCGGCGGCGAGCTCCCGGTGGCAAATACTCGCCTCATAGTCCAAGATGGCGGCTCGCGTCCCCGGCCGTGCTCTGGCGTGCCTCTCTAGTCCCGCCTGCCACCCAGATACCGAGGGCGGGGCGCACTCTTAGCACACACAGTGAGTCATTCGGATAGCATTCGGAGTCATTCGATGGCCAGAGTGCGATTGTGTGTGTGCGGGAGTTGGTTTATTGTCGGGAGGGAGGGGCAGGCTGCTCACCCACGTGCACCGGGCCAGTGGCGCTTGCACTTTGAATGCCGTGGGGCTCCTGCCCGTGTCCGGGCGTGGAGATGCGAGGGTCGCCCCCCCTTGCCCCACCACTTTGTGTGTGTGGAGAAATCTACCTTACCTTACCTTACCTCAGGACTCGCAGGTCTCAGCGCGCTTCAGTGCAGAAAATGAACGTCTGCGAAAAAATCGGTCCCAAACGTGCCCGGACTGCCGAGTGCCATCTCCCCGGAGCTGTATCGGTCTCACCCACGGCACCGCACCCAACGGATCGGTTTCGGCTAGCCTTTCATCATACATCACGCGCATCCGCGCGCTTACGGCCCGCGCGCACAAGTCGCAGTCACAGCTACGAGCGCAAATCCAAAGAAGAAAGATGCGTCGCCACCCATGGCGATCACGCCCCCTCGCCCTTGTTATTATCGCCCTTGCCCTTGCTCAGCCCTTGTTCTCGCCCTTGCCCTTGCTCAGCCCGATGGCGCGCACTGCCTCGATGTCGTCGCGCAGCTCGTCCTCCGCGCCCGCGTCTCCGCCTGCCACCCGGTGCGCGGCGCTCTGCTCCTCCGAGAGAACAAGGCGCACGAGGTGGAGAGCACCGACATCCTGCTTTTCTCGGAGAAGCTCTCCCTCCGCGCGCCCGCCGTGATAGTGCTCACGCGATACCAGTCCATCGGGAAGCCGCGCCGAACCGAGAACTCGACCCGCCCACGTATCCTACAGCGCGACGCGTTAGTCTGCCAGTACTGTGGCGGCGTTGCCAGAACGGTTGATCACGTGGTTCCGAAGAGCGACGGCGGGAGGGACTAGTGCACCAACATGGTTGCCTGTTGCTCCAAGTGTTACGGTAGGAAGGGTGTATTTCTGTTTGGGCGGTGGGGGGGCGTGCGCGTGTGTGTGTGTGTGTGTGTGCAGCCCCTCGCCTGGTACTTTGCGAGGGCGGCGTGCGCGTGCGGCGGCAGCCCCTCCCGGAGGTGGTCGAGCAGGCACGGCACCAGCCGGCCCGGCACCGCCAGCAGGTGCGAGTGCAGCTCCACCTCGCGAGGGGCAAGGACAGCGGTGTGAGGCAGAACCGGAATGAGAGGAGTACGAATACCAACGTGCCGCTCCGCCTCGAAGAGCAGAAACACAGTGAGCACCCATAATGAGAGGAATACGAAGACTAACGTGCCGCTACGCCTTGAAGAGCGGGACGCGGAGGTTCAGTTGGCGGATAGGGGAAATAAGAATACTCTAGTAATAGGAGTCGTCGTCGTCGGAACAAGGATAATGCGCCTCGAGGAGCAGCACGCAGAGCTGCACCAACCACGGAAATAAGAATAGTAGCAGTAGTAGTAGGCGTACTCACGCGCCTCGAGGAGCAGCACGCTGAGGTGCAGCACCGCCGCCGGCGCCGTCTCGACAGCCAGCTGCTCGCGGTATCCCGCGCGCGCGCGGTCGAGCGCCGCGCGCTCTCGCTTCTTGTCAAGCCGCGGGCTCTGGTCGCCGAGCGCGCCGTCCATCGCCCACATCGCCTCCAGAAACGCGTCCGCGCCGGACCCCTTGGCGCCGACGGCCGCCTCTGCGCTGGCCGCCGCCTCCGCCGCCGCCGCCGAACAGCGGGCGGCCGAGAGCAGCTCCTTGCGGCTCGCCACACCGCCCTCCTCGCCGAGCTCCTCGGCACGCGCGGCGTCGAGGCCGCGGTGGAGCGCCTCGCACTGCAGCAGCGCCGTCAGCCAGTCGGCGCACGGACCCTTGAGCGTCGCCCGCTCGAGCGCCTAGCCCCACCACCCACCAGCTTTATATGGGGAGATATGGGGAGATGCGGGGAGATGCGGGGGAGATACGCGAGATGCAGCGAGATACGGAAGCGAGAGGGAGAGAACTGTACCGCGGCTGCGCCTCGCCTGCACCTCGGCTGTACCTCGGCTGTACCTCGGCTGTATCTCGGCTAGATCTCGCCTCCCCGTCTTTGGCGGCGACGCCCTCGGAGCAGCGCACCGCCGGCAGCGCGCGGCATGCGAGCTGCGCAGTGGTCGCTGCGTGCGCCAGCCGCTCCTGCGCCGCCTGCACCGCCCGCCGCCGCTCCGACGCGCCAGCCTGCAGTTGTTGTTGTTGGTGGTGGTGGAGGTGGTGGAGGTGGTGGTGGTGTGTGTGGTGGTGGTGGTGGTGGGGGGGGGGGGGGGGGGGAAAATGAAAAGGGGGCAAAAAAAAACGCCGGGTTTTGGCGGCCCCTCCGCCAATCTTTGGGGGGCCCCCCCAG